TTTATGTACAATAAACGAAAAAAGAATGGACGCCCAAGCATTAATTATTAGCGTCTCTCTCTTGATGGCTCACGTCAAGAATACGTTTTAATTAAACCGACTGGCAGATTAGTTAATAGCTGGGTTAGTCGATGGTTGACGCCCCATCATTTGTTGACCGCGTGAAAAATCTTTACTAATTTGTAAAATAAAGCATTCATTACTAATGTCTTAATGCTGGTCAACTGTTCGAGAACATGGAAAAATGTTATCTTTATGGTAACTAATTATACACACCAAAAGCTAATTTGGAGAGAATTAATGCGATTTACTATTTTATTTGTGTATATGGTCAAAAACACAGCTGTTTTAAAAGATTGTACGCAATTAGATCATGTTTTACACTCTAAAATGAATATCATAGTAAAAGCAATGATCTTCGTAATATATCTGTAATAGTTAGCACCGTGAACATGTTAAATTAACTAGAGTATGAAGATTATGAACAGCCAGCTGATTTTCACGTAATTTACAAATAAATATTACTACAATCAAATGGTCTTGCCAGCCTACAATTTTCATGGGCAATTTTTGGATTTAGGGCGTAAGCCTAAATACATCAATTTTACAAATCACCATAACTCTTTTACTGACAAATACATTAGGTGTCCATGAAGGAGGAAGGAGGAGTAACTTCGGAGGATTTGTCAACACTGATTTCGTGTGTCCCTATTTATTCTAGAGACGTGATAGATTGTAAGCACCGTTTTGTTTATTATTTTAAAGTTTATTCAAAGTTTTCTCCTTATAATTGATTGTGTACTTAAAAGTTCCTTTCAAACGTGTCCTGTACTCGGCTTCTCTTCGAGCATTCAATTCGGCAGTCAACGAAGCTGAAAAGGTCGTCAAATTACCAATGAAAAGAATCGATTTTTTATAAAGAGCCATCATACTATTCGAAGATATGTCAGCTGAGTAATATTAGGAGGTCGGAATGTTGTAAATAGTTAACTTATTGTTAGTTCGACCAAACGTAATTTCAACTGATATTTACTGATAAGTTCGGTACGAGGTGACATTCCAGAATTCCCAGCGTCATGGAAACAGTCCACTTTAAATTTATTGAATCAAAGAAAATTTATGCTCTTGTAATTCCATAATTAATCTAAGAAAATTATACATAGGAAATCGCAAGGGGCTAAGTTTGGTGAGTAGGGAAGGTGATCTAGCATCTTGATGGACAATCAGTACTAAATGTGTAGGCCCATTGTCGTGACGTAACATGCATTCAGTATCATAATGTCCTGATAGAATCCTGATGTGTACAGACCATTTTCTCAAATTTAGGTTATCAACAATTATCCGAATAGTGGATCGACGATCAAGGCACAAGAGACAACACACGCTGAATGTTTTTAACAACGCAGTTGATCGAGGGTCGTCCTGGTCATGGTATTATCACTCCAATCTTCATGGCCCTTGCTAAAACGCTCAATCTGGCTAACAATAACTAAGAATGTATGTAAAAGGGTAATAAAAATCGGCAGAATTTACCATGTTCAAAGACACTGTATACGGAATGATAGTAAGTAGATTCGGGTTATTATGGTGAATCAGTTGGTGCCGACGTACACACGGCAGGTAATTTTTTTCCTTAATATCTTTCATTAACTACCTGTATTCATTGTTATTTGTACAGGTCTGAGTCGGCTCGGCTTTAGAAGCATATTAAGACCTACTGTTTCTTATATGAATCCTTTGACGAGCGGTGATGAGGGCATTCATAATTGACACTTTGATTACTTTGATCTTTTTGTGCCGGACGATATAATTTGTACTCTCGAATTCGCTTTCCGTAATGAGACCTTTCTGCGGTCAGAATTATTGCGCCCAAGCGACTAAATGACTTGCGTCCTTTTACATCACTACAATAGCTCTATAAACAGGGTGATCGACCAAGGAGCCGTGGTCATTAAATACCCACAGCGAAAATTACTGCTGGAAGAAGACGCAGATCCAACAAGAACACCTTAAATACTCAACCGATGCTGAAATATCTCAGTAACATTTTGTGATCAATATCTGTTCTAAAAGGAAGTAATCACTTCAACATTAGATAAAATCACAGGAGTTTCCGTGACAATTTCAAAATTGATTATATCCAGGAGAATCATTTTCAGAGAGCTTATAGAAACAATCCGTCGTTTCACTTTCACTTTACCACAAAAAATTAAGCACTCCAAAATAACTAGGTACATTTAGTATCATGTAATTGACATTATATCGCCATCTACACATATTTATTGTTAACTGAAGTATATCACAGTGTTTGGCAAAGCTTTAGGATGGTGTCTACTTATCAAATTGAATCTACACATACAAATTTAATAAAAAAACATGAAGCTTTTGTTGGTCAGCAATTTCCTAATAAATTACTACAGTTACATCTAAACCCATAGACGACGATGTATTGTCAGTCAATCAATATTACTGAACTTGCTCGTATGGAGCAATATCGGATTGATTTGTGATTTATCAAAACAATCTGTGGTGTGCTAATGAGACCAATAATATCGAAATCGCGATCTCTATCTGGTAGTACTGAAAAATTGCTGATGAAGGGCATCATGGTGTTTAATTAAAGTGATAGTCTTCCAAATTCATTTAGAAGACTCTAAATACGTAGTCCTCTTCTACGAATATTAATGGTGTATTTTGACCACTCAGTATATACATATAGGTTATGGGCAATAGGTAATGATTAGTTGTTGCTGTGTAATGTATGTCGTTTTACATCGGTCAGTTTACACGCGTTTACACTGCTTCGAATCGATTATAGTATGCCGCGAGATGAATGACACGTTGATGATGATGATGACTATAATAATGACGACTGAGAAGATTCCTTTTGCCTGATGAGGAGACGGCTGGATGCCTGCTTCTGTGTGAACGCGCTTCCTAAACATTTCAAAGGAAATGGAATAATGTTTGCCTTTTACTTAAACTTAATGATTCGTAAAACGCTAAAATTCGTCTTGTATGAAGAAAACCAACTGCTTGAAGTTGTTACAACTGCTATGAAAAAAAGTGTTTATGTTCACAAGGCCGATCCGCCGATCAGCAACTTTAAATAAGTGACTTTAAAAAATGAAAGTATGTTGGAACTAAATTACATATGTTTTTGCATCATCCTCTTTCGTCTTTATGGTACAATGTAAAAAAGAAGACGAGGGACGCAGTTCCGGCTGTACCGCAACCAAAGCAACAATTTTTTAATTTTGGTTTATTTACCTTTTAGATATTTCCTTTTTGTTACGTCTTGAAATGACAAAAATGACTTACCTTTACCACGTACATACGCCACTGGTTCACCATCACAGTCTTATGGAAAACTAGTTAGTCTTCCTCAATACCTTTTTATTCCTAACAAACCCTTCTCTCAGAAGATGTCTTACCTGCCTATCTCTTAGTTCCCCTTTCCTATTGACTTCCATAGCGTTCTTTGTTATACCGAGCGGCATGGCCTAGAGGTCTAGACCAGGGATGGCGAAAATCTTTACGTATCGACGTGCCATTTTTATAAAGAAAAGTTTAAACAGGTCATCAGGTGCCATTAAATAATTTTGTGTTGCGATTGTGGGGAAAATAATAATAATAAATAATATCAACTCAAAATTATTTATTTACTACAAAAAAATAGGAACATTTTGCAATGTTCAAATTATACGTGTAATTTAAATTAAAGTAAAATTAGTGTGACTTCTGTAGTTGCAGATTAGATGACAAATAACTTATGTTAGGGTTGTAAGAATGCATGCTGAACTGGAGTCATCTGTCAATCGGTTTCTAACCGAGTTTTTAATGTTATTCGTCTCTGAAAATAATGACACGCAGGCATAGGTTGATGAAAACATTGTTGAAATAATATATCAGCTTCTTCAAATAATTCAATCTGTTTGGTAACGCATTCCATGCTTCCAAAGTTTTGTTATTAGCATTTTCTCTTGTATTACCTGTCAATCTTTCTGTTTCAATTATTTCTAAATCTTTCCTTGTTTCAACAAATTTTTGATTCCATATTGAACTAGACTGGAAATAATTCAGCTGCATTTCATATTCTTCAATTTCCAACCTATTGAATTGGGACAAATTCAGTTTATCAAATGACGTCACATCAGGGTACATAAACTTGAGTATTTCCAATTATTCTCTGGACTGAGAAAATCTCGCTGAAAATTCCTTGATTAAAGAATCAATCACAGAAACAAATTCTTCAATAACTTGATCTTAGTCTGGTTTCTCATGTATTTCTAAATTGTTGTTAGATTTTTTCAAATTTGGAAATAACTTGTAGATTCTTGTGATGACGTCGTTCTTGAAAACTGGCAGTTTAGCTTCAAAAGCGCGAATGACATCTCTATGCCTTGAAGCTTCACAGTTGCTTCAGCTTCAGGGTTGCTCGTCATAGAATCTCTACTTCAGACTTTTTTTCGTAGTGCATAATGAAATTTGTGATTTAAATTAGTGTCGTGCCTAAAATATTGTGTCGCGTGCCAGTAATGGCACGCGTGCCATTGGTTCGCCATCCCTGGTCTAGACCATTGCTTAGCATTCGGGAGGACGCCGGTTCGATTCCGGGTCCGTCCGTCTGCCTTGGTCCAAGTTTTTCTGTGGTTTCCTTGGATTACTGAGGCAAATGCTAGAGCAGTAATATTCCACAGATAATCTTTCATTCTCTTCTGTCTTCATTTCGTCCGTCTCAAATTTCTCACCCGAACCACCACCCACCCATTCCCACGATTCTTGAAAGCAGGCTGAAGAAGGCCTTCTGTCCTGTCCTACCTTCCGGCATAGTCCGGAGGGACTGCCCGCCCACCAGCTTTACTGGTTGGTGGGAATGAAACACCCAAAAGTTTTTTTTATCCTACCTTTCTAATACCTTTTATTCTCAAAATAAAATATTGATTTAAATAAACAATTTATGGCTTGGGATAGATAAATAAAAGCACGTTATTAAAAGGAATAATAACTTTAATTACCATTAATTAATAAAAACATCAATATAATTAATCATAAAATGACAAAACATTCGAATTAGGTTTGCTTTATCTTCTTCTTCTTGAGGGGCTCAAGACCACTTCCAAATTCAGAGGTTGATAAACCGAAATTCCTCTTTTTGGAATTCTCATTTTTATGTTTTACTGCTGAGTTGTCGTTATCGTCATCGTCCCTGAAATAACGATAAAAATAAATTTCTTAAACGACCGAAAAATGCTTAGAGAAATACGATCACTTTTACATCAAAATTGAGATATTTTTTTTTAAAGTAAAGCGTGACGCCATTACCAATGGAGATAGCTTCAATCGAGAAGAAAGAAATCTCTGACCAGTCAACACACGTATACAACATTCATGTAGTGTAATTAATGAAAGTTAATGATTAATCGCTTCACAGTCCTGAATAAAAACCTATTCCACTCGCAATAGATTTATTACTTTTTTCATTTTTATAGGTGCTTTATTACGCTACGTCAGTCGCTCTCAGTTACGTTTTAAATTCCGATAATGATACTGTATCATAAGCGAAATTAGCCGAAGCTGTCAGTAATTGTTTCGTAAAAAAAGGCAAACGTGTCCGTTGCTATTAAATATGTAAGCAGTATGAAGACGTAGCTAGTAAGGAAGGGAAAGTACGACAAGGAGGCATGGCGCAAGTTTGAACGGGTTAGCTTAGTTTAGGTTAGGTTAGGTTAGCTTAGATTGCGCTGGATTGACTTGGGTTGGATTGTATTATGTTTTATCATGTTAGATTGGTTTATTAAGGAAGGGAAAGTACGAAAAGGTGGCATGGCGCAAGTTTGGCCTGGTTAGGTTCGGTTAGGTTAGGTTAGGTTAGGTTAGGTTAGGTTAGGTTAGGTTAGGTTAGGTTAGGTTAGGTGAGGTTAGCTTAGATTGCGCTGGATTGACTTGGGTTGGATTGTATTATGTTTTATCATGTTAGATTGGTTTATTAAGGAAGGGAAAATACGGCAAGGTGGCATGGCGCATGTTTGAATGGGTTAGGTTAGGTTACTGTGCAATAATGCTTATACCTGAACGAGAGGTGTAGTTTGAATTAAACCATTTACTTGAAACATGTGGTGAGATCACCGCTTATGTCTTTTACTCGGCAAAATATGGCGATGAGCGGCCATATTGATTTAGTCGCCATAAGTGGTGATTGAATAATTACATTCGGTTTTATTTAAGTATTGACAACAAAGTCATTCAAAAAATACAAAGATAAGTAATTATGAAGACAATCAGTAGCATGTGAGACGACTACAATGGCAACAATGTGACTAAAGTGCACCTCTGTGTATATTTTAATTGTCAAATGAGTGAAGAGTTGTCGATGGGTGGTACACATAAAGAGTGCAGTTGTTTGGTAGATACGCATATTAGTAGGATCGAATACAATGCGTTGCAACGGCAACTAGATCCGCAAATTGCCCGTGAAAAATGAGCCGAACAAAAGTTTTAAATAAACATAAAGTGTATCTAACCGCTGGCATTATTTATGTGTTTAGTTTCTTTGTGGGGCTGCCATGCGGAGGTTGCGGGACAGCGCATTAGCCGAATCGATTTTGGTGCGATCCGCTTTAACGTGATAATAACTGAACATTAATCAAAGCTGTCGTTGATTCCGTTCGTTTCCCTACCATTCGTTCTTCTTATTTTCTGACGGCACAAGAATGACTTTAACAGTCTTTAATAACTTCGAGCTTATTTTAATTATCATTTAATAATCGTTTCCTTTATTATAGCACTGGGTTTTTCAGCGCGCCAGAAGACACCGATAGGAGGAAAGAAGCTTGGAATCGTTTTTTCTCATGGCTTTGTATACAGCGATTTCACAATTTATTATCACTCATAAAAAAGATAGAAGGTGTCTATATATTCAACACCTTTCTCGAAAGCAATGAGAAAAAATGATTATTTTCATTCATTTCACAGTCACAAAACCAAATGTAAGTGCGGATTTACGTTTGAACCAGCTTAACATTAAATGAAATGAATTTCTAGATATCAAAACCTTACTTGTGTATGTCCAGTTTGGGATTGAGCTTGGAGACTTCCAAATGACTCACTTGTCCTCTCACGACTTTTGCAATGTGCGAAGGCGGATCGCGGATTGCGAAACTCGAAGCGTAGTGACCTAAATTGGCACTTTTAAAATTAAAAATGGAACGCATTTTTGTCGGATAACTGTTATAAAACCTCGACCATGACGAATATGCTGAAAAAATATTATTTACGTTTTTTTTCTAGTATGCAAGGGAAGAAAAAGTAGGGAAAGAGCGAATATAAAGATAGGAGACGAAAAATTAGAAGAAGTGGATGATTTTAGATACCTAGGAAGTCAGATAAGTCAGGATGGAAGGAGAAGTAGAGATATAAAGCAGAGGATAGCGCAGGGTCGTGTCGTCTTTAATAAAAAGAAGTCACTTCTATGCTCGCGAACGGTTAATTTAGAAATTCGAAAATGGTTGTTAAAGGTGTATGTTTGGAGCACGGCGTTGTACGGGTGCGAAACATGGACAGTGGGCGCGGCGGAAAAGAAAAGGTTAGAAGCGTTCGAAATGTGGTGTTATAGGCGGATGATGAGGATATCGTGGGTAGAAAAGGTTAGAAATGAAGTATTGGAACGAATAGAACAGAGGACTCTATGGAAGTCAATAAAAAATAGGAGAGATAGGTTGGTAGGACAGCTTCTCAGACATGAAGGTCTGGTCAGAGACATATTAGAGGCAGGAACAGGAATAAAGAGGGGTAGAGGTAGACCTATATTAGATTACTGTTCGCAAATAGTTAAGGATGTGGGCTGTTCTAGTTTTAGAGAAATGCGAAGTTTAGCTCAGGATAGGAAAGAGTGGAGGTACGTGTCCAACCAGTCTTAGGACTGACGACCTTATGATGATGATTTGATACAATACAGAATAAATTTTGAACTTAATATCAAAATTAACCTAATATTAATTGTACTTCATATTTTTTGTTTATCGTAAAGGAGAAAACGACATAGTAATCTTTACCAAAGTAGAAAGAAATAAAAACGTAAAAGAAGAATGTTTTTTTAAATATGAAGGAGTTAGGTTTTGGTTACCTACGTCTTCAACATCAATAAGAATTGATTGTACTAAAATGTCATAAAGTGTTTTGGAAATGATGGTGGAATTAGACAAAACTGTTTTGAAAACTATAAAGGGGTTGAGTAAGACCATTTTTAACCTTCAGTTCTTATTTTGGAGATTTAGGGTAAACGCTTCTGATTAGTTTCTTTGGTGATTTCGAAAAATCAAAAGGAAAAATCACTTCAAAATAAGAAAAAAAGAATGGATGTTATGGAAGTTCTAAAGAGTTACAAAAAGGTTACATCGGAGGAATTCCCGATTTTTAATTTTGATTTTAAGTGGCTCCTTTAAGCGACTCCGATGTTTATATAGCCTTTGATAAATAAATAAAGTCCTTTTCATCGAAACCACATACAAAACTGAGTTTAGACTCATAATGGCGCTATAAAGGTCGTAACCGGTCGACCACGACCGACATCTCCGTCCCTATCCTGACAACCCGAAGTGGTTTTCTATGTCCACCATCTCTAAAACCATAAGCCAACATCTACGTATTACGCTGTTAGTATGGATTCTCCTTAATTACATAATCTGATAAGTCATGTCAGGTGAAAGGCGATCAAAATGAAAGTTTTAATAAATAATTAATACTAAAGAGAGCAATTGATTAACCCACTTTGCTCCCAAAATAATAATGTTCCAATTTAGATGTCAAAAAAAGTATCAAACGAACGTTATGCTAGTCAACCCAAGCTAATCCACTTACCGAAACAAGCCTGTTTGTATAATTCTCTATCTTTATTGACTGCTGTTTCAAATCTTCTTTGCAACGCTATCCCTGCTTGACCTATGTTAGGTTCATCCATCAATGTACACAAATTATGCAAATAAAAGTCAACATCTCGCTTTTTCACGCTGAAAAGAAATTAATGTAATTGTTTTTCGCATATAGTGTTAAGATAAATGATCAATTTTGTGAAAGATCAGAATGTACTTTCAAAGTCGAAACAATCAAATTCGAAAGAAGATAATTGATGAGATTAAAACTGAAAGTGCATTATGATCTACCTTGAGTAGACAAAAAGCGATATTGTGAGCAATGAAAAACGATTTTACAATTGCAAAATGCTTCACTTACAAGACCTTGTGCTCCTGTAGCCTTTTTATATAATCTTCTTCTTCTGGTGTTAAAAATATAATTGCACCCCCTGACTTTCCAGCTCTACCCGTTCTTCCAACTCTATGGACATAATCATCATCTGTTTGGGGTCCATTGTACTGTATAACATAGTCAGCTGTTGGAACATCCAAGCCTCTTGCAGCAACATCCTATTTTAATTGACACAAAGATTTAGATAGACGGCACCAGAATTTAACCTAGCCCAGAATTAATTATGCTTGTTCTTATTGATATCACAGCAGATTATAAGAATTAAGAGAATCAAACAAAAGTTTAGGAAATCATAAAAAAGGTCGTTTGGGGATCGAAGAAATTAACTCATACCATGCAACTTCCCCAAGTGTTTGAAAAGATAATACTAGGGTCAATTGAAAAGTCCCCGGCCTGACACATAGATGGCGGCACCAGAACTAAATCCATATGATTTTCAGTTAGTCCTAACCTTCAAAAGACGCGTCTATAAATTTGACGGCTGTCGGATCATTAGTTTGTGAATTATAGCATTTTTAGCGAAGCAACTTTTGTTATTGTGAAAAAATGATAAAATATTGCTATTTGAAGGGAAAAAATACAGTTGAAGCAAAAACTTGGCTTGATAACGAATTTCCGGACACTGCCCCAGGAAAATCAACCATCAAGGATTGGTATGCTAAGTTTAGACGTGGTGAAATGAGCACCGAAGACGGTGAACGCAGTGGACGCCCAAAAGAGGCTGTTACGGACGAAAACATTAAAAAAAATCAACAAAATGATTTTGAATGACTGTAAATTGAAATTGAATGAAATAGCAGACACTCTACAGATATCAACGGAACGTATACATCACATCATTCACGAATATTTGGGTATGAGAAAGCTCTGTGCAAAGTGGGTGCCGCGCGAGCTCACTTTTGACCAAAAACAACGACGAGTTGATGATTCAGAGCAGTGTTTGAAGATGATCACGCGTAATAAACCCGAGTTTTTGCGTCGATATGTGACAATGGATGAAACATGGCTCCATCATTTCACTCCGAAGTCCAATCGACAGTCATCGGAGTGGACTGCACACGATGAACCCGCTCCAAAGCGTGCAAAAACGCAACAGTCGGCTGGCAAGGTTATGGCGTCTGTATTTTGGGATGCGCGTGGAATAATTTTCATTGACTACCTTGAAAAAGGAAGGACCATCAACAGCGACTATTACATAGCGTTATTGGACCGTTTGAAGGACGAAATCGCCGAGAAACGACCGCATTTGCAGAAAAAGAAAGTCCTGCTTCACCAAGACAATGCACCGTCTCACAAGTCAGTGAAAACGATGGCAAAAATTCATGAATTGGGCTTCGAATTGCTTCCGCATCCACCGTATTCTCCAGATCTGGCCCCCAGCGACTACTTCCTGTTCTCAGATCTCAAAAGAATGCTCGTTGGGAAAAAATTTTCGTCGAATGAAGAGGTGATCGCCGAAACTGAGGCCTATTTTGAAGCAAAGGACAAATCGTACTACAAAAATGGTATCGAAAAGTTGGAGGATCGCTATAATCAGTGTATCACCCTTGAAGGGAATTATGTTGAATAAAAAAAACGAATTTTGCAGAAAAAATGTGTTTTACTATTTTAGGCCGGGGACTTTTCAATTGACCTGTTATGTACCTAATACCATTCTAACCTTAACATTTCTACATAGGTCGAACAAATTGGTTTATTTAGATAATTTGGTGGTTCCAAATTTGATTTTTTCCACAGCAGGGTACTGAAACCATCAGGCAAACAATACTCACTTATTTTCAATAACCATTAACATGTATGTGAGGCTGTTAATAAGAAAAAAAAGGAACCGAATGATTTAACGAACATATGAATTGGTGTGTGTCTGTAAAAACGCGTTTGATTATTATAATTCGTTGAAGAAACCGATGATGGTAGCAGTGTGTGGATGCATTCCAATGGCAAACAAAATGCTATGACTGCGCGGAATTTCGATAAAGAGAATCATTCCGGGAGCAGCTGCAACAATTACGAGTAACAACAGTTTTTAATTCAAGAAGCAAAAGGTGCCGGCGTTTGGACAAAAGCAACAGTTATCTACGTGTAATATAGTTGATGGACGAATTCTTTAGAAAAAAGGCCGCTCTCATCAACAACGTCCATACGGGGGGCGCTTCCGAATGATGATAACATTTTTTAGTGAACGATTCGAAGATTCACAGGTCTACAAATAAAACGATGTTTGATGCTGCACAAATAAAAAATAATTTGATATCCTGAATCGAAGTTTAACCTCAGAATTTCGCCATTACGTTAGAATATTGAGGTATCCATATCATACCCGAAATTGTTGAAAGATTCAGTTTAGTTTTCAGAGAATTTAATGGACAAAGACTAATAAGATTACCGTAAAGAATAAACCTTATCCTTTAAGATTCTGTTTCCATCAGTAAAACATCATGTCTTAAGTGAATGCCGGTTTCATGATCCATTAAATCCATTGAGCCTCATACCTAAAATTCTATTGAAAGAAAACTTACCGTACAAAACAAAATGCCTTTCTGTGCTTTTCTAAACGAAATGAAAATTTCTTTCCTCATCTTTTGATCCATGGACCCGTGCAATTTGAAGAATTCCGTATCCAACACGTCTTCTTCTTCATTACTACTATTTTCACTTTCACTTTCACCTTCAGTAAACACTACTTTATCACGTTTTCGTACACCACGATTTTTAGGGAGATACAGGAAATATTTACTAAACAATTCGTAATGGAAGTCTACCATTTGACTGCTGGCCATAAATACAAAAATCTTCGAACTGCCCTGTTCATATTTAGTCAAAATGAGGGCAGCCAAAGCAATCAGCTTCTGCTTCACTTCAACCACAACGTATTCTTGCTTTACAGTATTTGGGATAATTAAATTTTCCGGATTAAATGTACTTTTAGCGTTTTCATCTAACGCGTCAACAAATACATGATCTTTCATTGTGAATTCGGCCAACTCTGTAACCGCTTTTGTAAGCGTTGCAGATAATAGGATCGTTTGTCTTGCGTTACTATTTGTATCTCTTAACGGCATTCCGTCAATAAACTTTTCGACTTGTTTGTCTTCATTTTCGATTTGAGGTTTTTGTTGATTTCTTAATAATTTCAAAGGGTCGTATTCCGCATTGCGTTTTGCCTTATCTAACTCCTCTACCAACCTATAAGAAAAAAAAAGACCTATTCAACGCCATAAGAGAAAATTAAAACTAACAAGGAATACTAGTGGGAAGTAAAATATCTGCAGATGACATTATACTGCCAGATACTTGACATTAAATAAACTTATTGAAAGTACATGATGTTCTGAAGAGAACTAATTTTAAAATTGCGATTCACACGTGATGATTTTGATAAATTGGTGATCAAGAAGTACGGAAAATAAACGACCTATAAGATTGATCGTGAGTTTGACGATTTATTTAGCATACTTCCTGGTGCTTAGGACATTGTGGCTACTTACTTGACGATGTCCTTTCGGAAACCCATTTCCATTAATCTGTCGGCTTCGTCAATTACAAGACACCGAATATTATTCATTTTAAGGGCAGAAGTGTGCACTATATGATCCAATAATCTCCCTGGTGTGCCTATTAAAATGTGTATCCCCTTTCTCAGTCTTTCTTTTTCTGCTTTTCTCTTTTCACCGCCACACAAGAGCCCTGTTACTACCCATTGGAAAGTCTAGAAGGAAGTATTCACCGTTTTTATTGTCACGGATAAATTTGAATTTACGTGAACTGTTACAACCATGAAATATGATAGAAAATGAGGATGATACCCTACCTATTGAATCGCATTTTAGCTTCAGAGAAATTATGAGTGAGAAATCAGAATTTTTATTAATGAAGACACATTTTTTTTTTAAGAAAAGGATAAACTGAGGAAGAGGAAGAACCACGCGTAGAGAATGTTTTTGGAAATGCATTTAGGTACCTATTCACGCACGTTATGTGTTTTATTTATTGCAAAACTTGATAAGATGACATTATTTCGAGTTTCTGTCATTGCACGTATAGGGTAATTAAACCGAAGTTGCTGAAGGGCTCCAGAACAGTGTCGAATGTGTGCCCGAAAAGACCGAAATTAAAAATGCTACATTTAAAGTAAAAAAATTATTCGGTTTAATGTTTTGAAGCACCAGAAATTGTGGTTACTAAAGAAATCAAATTTTATTAATTGCCATATACAGAAAGAGACAAGTGGAGGCAATATATTCAGTTGTATTGATGATAACACAACCAAATGTATAAATCTTACATTTAGACAATTGATTTTGACATGGACGCACTAAATTCATTTACATCACTTGCCTTTCTGACGAATATTACGAAAAAAATCATTTTAATGCATTAAGAATTCAAAAAATTAAAGACAGACTTGTTTTAATATCATTTGATTTAAACACTGTATCAAAATGTGACAGTAATGTAAAATATCACTTACCTTTCTGAAGAGTATTAGGAAAAAATCATTTTTATTTATTAGGGATTCAAAAAATAAACTTGTTTTAATATCATTTGTATCAAAAACTGTATCAAAACGTAAAATAAACACAACACGTAAGTATTATATACTGTAAGTAAAAACATAACTTGTTTATCATTAAAATATGCAACAAATAACAAAAAAAAAAATACGAATATTAGGTAAATTGTAGTAACACATTTATGAGGTAGTCTACGAAAAAAATACCAGAAGATGGATGCTACTGAGCTGGCGAACGAGGATTCCCATTCCCCGGCTACCGCCATAACCACTACCTGGGCTTCCGCCATTACCTTCCCATGCCCATTTAGTGAAAACTCTGGCGCAGTACAGTCAAAGAGGCATCGTCAATCGTTGCCTTTGCCGAAAATATATCTTGGATCGTTCGTACCGATGCAGTGGTCAGCTGGATTCGATACGAGTCGATTGCACATGCAAACTCTGGCGAGTAATCTGGATAGGATTCAACTTTTGAGGGAGCAAGGTGTGATGACTGGGCTAAGGTACTCTTGGGAAACATTTTTATCACATAAGTCCCAAGCCTACCCAGTACCGCTTCGTAATCGGCGTCATTGTAATTGGGCTTTGTCATTCCAGTTAGATAAGAGGCTCTAGTGTGGTAATGCGACGGGTTGGAATGTATGAGTTTCCTGAGCTCTGCCAGAGGTAGGAAGTCCTTAGGAGATGGGCATACTTTCAATAGAGAAGACCTAATCAAACGTTTTGCAGCGTCATAAGCAATGACCAACCTATGTGTACCAGCTGGGAGGGAAGTAAACCGACACACGACATCACTCGATAACGATAGGTTATTGGATGAATGTATAATTGGGTCATCTACATTCCGAAGCCCCTGAATCCCAGCCAGTCGGAGTATGTTGATAGTACTAACCCAGCGCCCAAAGTAAGTGTCTGATCTCTCCCCGTGCCCTGCTTAATAGTCAAGTTCATAGCTTTCAGTAAGTACCCTTGAGCAGAACCCTGTCCGGTGTGATGACTTCCTTCCCAAAAGTTTACCTTAGTCGCAATTGTAAGCGTCAGTGCTCGGCGGAGAGATTCTATGGAGTAATGCACGTTTGCTGGGGCTACGGTTATCGATGAATCTGGTACTTCTCGAGCAATCCAATCTCCATCAGGTACAGTTCCAATAGTCCGGCATAGACTTGCTGCCACACAAGCAATTGCTCCAGAGATGTAAATGGACTTAGCCTCCTCACTCACGGAAGAAAATCGTTGCAAGGCCCAGGCTCCTGTATATCCTGCGGCCACGACTAATACGTGATTAGTAAGAATTGGTAGCTTATCCAAATCAGAGAAATCCTCCCCTACTGCTAGTCCAGCTTCACAAACGCCAGTAATTAGGTTTATTTCAAGAGATCCATCCTATAAAGCCATACCAAGGAAAAGATGAAGGCCTTACTGAATGTAATCACTAATGATCGTACGCTTACATTACATATAACGTCCATACTTAGACCGATCGTCAAAATTTCAACAAGTTCTGGTGGTAAACGTTTGTTGTTGAACAGAAATATTTTTTACGAAATCACGTGATTTGGAAACTTAATTCTTGTGGACGTTGAACATACTTCTCAATGCATTTTAAGCGACAAACGCCACAACCTGACACTTGCACATTCACAACAGTTGCTGATTATTCAATTTTTGCTCCAATACTTATGAACACTTGTAGTCTTAGAAACATAGTAAAGTTACTATGTAATAAAAACGTACGGTCACTATTTTGATAGAGAAGCTATTGAAATTTCTCCAGGTTTTATAAAATCAGAATTTGGTTTGTGAGGCCATAATCCTCATAAATGAACATTTATTTATATTTCGTTTGAGTTAGGATTCAAATAAGTACGTATTTGAATTTGAATTTAAATTCTGTCTTCGGAACAGGTGACGTTGTATAATTAATGTAAAATGGTAGTTTAGTTTTACAACATTAAACGAGTATTGTTAATGTTCTTAGTTTTTCTTTTAATCAACCACATAGGTGGTCTAAATTCAAAATGTCCCATAGTTTGAACAATCAAAAAAAGGACATTGCAGTGCGTGAAACTTCTCAGTTGGATTTCGATATTTTTAAACGTGTTAAAAATGGCCGCGAGACAATATCATTTATATGATTACAAAAACTTACTGTAGAATCATCAACTAGGTACACCTTGGTCAGACTACCTGTCAGCTTCTAAAATCTACTTATCGTCAATTTTATAATGAAAAATTAATTTGTTTCTGTATCTTGCCTACGTTTAAGTTCATATTATTGAGAAGCATGTCAGATTGTGATTAACTCTGTGAAACTTGCATTAAGTGGTTTTAGATTAGCCTATTCAATGATAGTATCCAGAGAAAGCATGACAGGGATGTTAATCACAGCAAATAATTTTAGTTCGTCAGCTAAGAGGCAAATGTGAAAAATACTCCATTATAATACAATCGACAAAAAACTAAAAACAATAGAGGACCAACGGTAGAACCCTGTGGAACACTCGATGTCGCTGTGTACGAACTAGATTTACAATTTTTGACACTCACTACTACGTCTTTATCATTTAAATAAGCCTACAGTAAACGTGACAAATAATGTAACTGTTGTTCAAGAAAGAGCTCTGCTTGAAGTTACATCAGGAAAAAATGATGATAAATCATTTTGAACTGGCAATGCCTCAAGCTTAGCAAGAAGCAATCGATGATCAATTATATCAAAAGCTTTTTCGAAATTCAAGTAAATAGTATCTACTGGACTATAATTTGCAACTCCAAAAACAAAATCATTAAATATGAGCAAATTCAACGGAGTGGATATACACTTTCAAGAATCATGCTCTGGTAATGTTGACTGGTTCATCCTATATATCTTAGTGATAAATTTATTAAGTCTTTCTCCCTCTATTTTTACAAATAGGGGCAATAAAAGAACTTTTTAAGACATTTGGTATGCAGCCGTGTGTTAAAAGAATTATTTAGTAACATTGATAATGGAGCCACTAGAGTTTTTGAACTTTTAAGAAAATTGACTACAATTAAATGGGGACCAATTAATTTTAAAACCTCAACAAAATGAATAGCAAAAGAACTATCGATCAATATCAGAAATAAAGATGAGGATGGACGAGGGAATGCAAATAGATTTAACAAACCTTCATTATACTTAATGAATAGGGAAAATAAATAAATGTAAAATAAAATTGCCTTAGGATGCACTGTATGTGGTATGTGCTTTTGTTAGTAAAAAGTAAAAATAAATAAAGAAAAAGTATGCTTACATTTATCTTTCCAAATAATTCGTGAGTCTGGAGGGCAAGTTCCCTTGTTGGAACTACAACAAGGGCCTGAACTCCATTTGATCTATTTAGTTTAGGCACAATTCCACGTAAGCTATCAACTATTGGAACAGCATAGGCTAATGTCTTTCCTGACCCCGTTTGGGATCGAATCTGTAACAAAGACATGTATTTAAGTTCACTTAAAAATGCATTTTAATAGAGGGGGTGTTTAAATACTACAATAAACTAAGAATTAATTAAGATACTTACCAATACATCTTTTCCTGATGTAACTACAGGCAGTGCTCTTTCTTGAACAACAGTAACATTATTAAAACCGTTTTTGTCTAAATTTGAAACTAGATGTTGGTGAATATCTAAATCACTGAACTTTTTTCCTGAAGACGTAAATACTTTTTCAGAAACCGAATTCTTTGAATTCTCAACAACACTTTTACTCTTGTTCGAAATTTTCTGAGGGTGGGAAACTTTATTAACATTTGCATTAGATTCATCATCACTTTCACTTAACTCAACAATAACGTTCTCTGACTGCGTATTTGACTTGTAACTCTTGGATAAACTTATTTTAGTTGGTTTTTTACTATTTATACGTTTACTTAAGGCACTTGCATTTGATGGTGCAGATTGTTTTGCAACGTGAGACTTTTCTGGTTGCTTCAAAATCTGAATAGCAGGAATGCTTTGCTCAGTTCTCTCTCCCTTGTTATCTGTAACATTCTTTCTTTTTCGAGCTATTGGTGGTTTTGGTTGTTTCTTAGAAGTATCCCAAGAAAATTTAAAGGAAGATACTGAGTTTTTATCACTCGTATTACATGTTTTAGAACCCTAGAAATAAGAAGAAACAAACAGTTAGTCGAAGTTTATGTTTTGATATAAAGCTAATCGAAACTTACCTTAGTTTTAGAATTTTTTATTTTAGTCATTTTAGGTACAAATAATTCTAAAAACTTAGTCTGTAAGTATTTTTTAAGTCTAAAACGATACACAAATTTATAGGTTAAAGATGAGGTTATGTTGCTTGCATTATACGATGTGGTTACAGTCTCTAAAGTGGCTAGATAACCATACTCTGAAGGAGGTAATTAAGAGATACATATGAATTTTACTATTAGCATATATTTTTCGTCATTTCTTGTGAGGAGTAATATAAAGAATGGAATGCCGAAAGATAGTGATTTAAAATACTTTAATTTATAAAAATAAAACAAGGCTTTGAAAATTTTTAAAAATATCAGTAATGGGTTTCTATAAAGTTAAAGTTAAAGCTTTTTCATACTATAGTTATGTTAAACTGGGTTTTTATCTAACCAATACTTTCAGGTGTTGGTTTTAACTTATGTTTTACCTGAATATGTTCACAATCCATAACACATCGTAAATGACGTGTTTCATTTCGTCCACTTTTCTGTCCAGGACTATACTGGAAGGAACGTTATTAAATTTATTTAATGTTATTCAGAAAGCAACTGTTAAATTAATGCGAACATTTTTAATAATCTACAGTAAGCGTTACATATTTTTTTGGTATTATCAAAGGCCAGACGAGATATTTCGAATTTGTTCCTTTTGACTGAGACCGAAATACTGTGCTCTGCTATTCCGTAGTTTGGTAAAACAAATAATACATAAATTATTCATAATCTATTCGGCATTCGCACATCATAAAACGATACCATGCAGTAGAAAAGACTGAAATGGGTAACGCTAAAATCTGACCGGTATGAAAGCAGGATGATGACGGTGGTGGTGGATCGTGGGGGTGTGATAACGGGGCGGCAACGCCGTACAACACGAAAATGCATATAAAAGCGATGTCGTTCCTCTGAAACGCTTTCAGAATTAAAGCTAAATATTCATGGACGCTTCTACTGCAAATCGCGAGCTTTTATATTACTTATACAGTAAAACTGAGCTATAAAAGCTCTCAAAGCTCCTCCAAGCGGAAGCTCGGCAGCCACTCTTTGCCATGTTCTCGGATCTACGAAAGGAGCTAATGTTTATAAATATGTATGTGTAAATGTAAGCTATTAAAAGCGTTCTCACTTTATTCGTGATAAAGCACTTCAGGAAGTCGTTGCTGTCGGAATACTTATATGTTATACGTATTCATATAAAAGGCATGTAGCCAGAAACTTATTTTGGGGAGGGGGTCGGAGTAATTAGGCAGATACTCCATTAAATTAGCTTGTTATATATCGAGGAATGTACACATTTTTGAAATCATATTAATAAATAAGTGAATCGGTGCACGAAAAATCAGAACCTAATGGCGGCTTTTGTCATCAAAAGTGCATATGTTACACAAATTTGTTTTAATGCAATTCCTTGTGGACTTTATACTTATCCTTGGTTTCATGGATGACGTATGATTTTGTAATAGATGAAAAGCTTATTAAAATAACGTTGATGATTATTTCATGCAGTTGATTGACTACTTCGTCGGAGGTCATTTTATTAATCGGTTAAAAATTAAAGTTGAATTGGTCCATACTTATACTTGGAACCCCTTTAAAGAATTCGGACATAGTTAATAAATACCTTAAGACGCCACTTTTAGGAAAATACAATAAGGGTAAGTTATTAAAATTTAGCAATTTTCTTTTGTGTAATCGATTTGTCTTACTTTCGTTGTTGGTTAAGAGGAAACTTAGACTTCTTGTTTCGATTTTTATTAGTTTAACCTTTAACCTTTTAATTTGGAGACAGATACTAGGCTAAATTTCAGATTTCAAGACCCCTTTTGCTTTAATGAAAGATATTTAACGTAAAAACTCAACTTGGTATCTTCTTATTAATATACCAATTCTGCTTTAGAAAATATTAATTCTGAATTTTGCTTAAGAAAATGAAAACATGAAACATGAAATTTCTATTGGAAGTCTAAATATGTAGATATATAGACGCCTATTACAACTACATACTCTTTCAATATAAATTAAAAATATTACATTTCACCTAATTAACCTCATTGGAACGTTAAATAAATTAGCATAGGTACGTATTTATCTGATGAGCACATTTAAGAGAAACTCCTTAGTGAACGTTTGAAAAAGTTGTTACTTCTACTTACTTCCACTATTCAAATCTCTTTTAGATACGTTGATAACATAACCATCAAAAGTTTTTGTTAAAAAGGTAATTAACTAATAACTACAGGCAACGTAATTGACATGAAAGGCAAACATCATGTGATCAGATATATAAAATTTTTATTTGATGTAGGAGGCGCCTATTTTTAGTCAAATGGAAAAAGTGACAGAGACGTAAAAGGAACAGCAATAATTTCTGGGTGCTGAAAATGAAAATGTTTGTGATGTGGTGTTAGTTATAATAAAAAATAGGAAGAAAAGGATTACAGTAATTCATAGGCTTTCACGACCGGTGTCTAATTGACGATGAAGAGCTTCTGGGCTTTTCTGCTTTGATAGAATTCTCATTGAAGACGTTTCACCTTGCTTAATAGATGGCATCTTCTGTGCTTCACGATGTATGAATGGTGGCTGAATGAATACATCGTCTGCAATCAGAATTTAACCACGGCAGAAAAACCCAGAAGCTCTTCATCACAATCAGGAAGAAAAGGATGTTAGGACACCTTCTGTGACATAAAGGGCTTCTAAAGACTTATTAAAACCAGATGCAGAAGTAAAAAGAGGAAGTGGAAGACTTATCTTGATCAGATTAGTGTTCGCTAATAGTTAAGAAATGTTCTAGTTTCGGGAAATGTGAAGATTGATGGCTCAGTGTAGGAAGAAGTGGAGTCTATTGCTTTGAAACCTTTCAATGACTGGTTAAGGGTATATGGCATATATATAGATAAATTAAACTAAAATGAGCTGCATTGCCAGTAATAGTTTTTAGAAGGTACCTACTTTTGATGAAAATTGTAGCAAACAGTGGAGCAAAATGCTCTAAAAACTTGGTGGAAGGTCAATATGGGTACCACTAATATCTAAATAATGTACCAAATTCTTACTGTCTAAGTAACTTTAGGTAAATTTCCTGCAAACATAATCATAGTTTAGATACAAATTACATAGGCATCTGCCGACGCTTGTTGTATGGCCGTTGGAGCGTATAAAAACGCCCAATGATAGGCGAAGAAAGAGCGGGCGGGAGCCTTCCGGGCCAATGGCTGTACCCCGCATCGCATCCTATTGAAAGGCGTCGGCCCCGAAACATCACTTTAACTTAATGCGGTGAGCTGCTAAAAGAGATAAATAAAACTCATGAACTGCTGAATTGGAACTGCTCATATTATACCACATGTCATGGCAAACTTGTCAATTCGACATTCTCAAATATGGGAATAACTAGTCGTAAGCGCTATTTTATCACACTACTGACAAACGTTCAGCTAAATCGTCAAATACTGTACTTGCCCATGGAGCAGAGAGACCTCATCTTTGACTGTAGGTACCATTGAGGTTAGAGCAAAGGAGAACAATCGCTGTTTAAAAAGATGTTCCAGAAATTTGGAGAAAAAGGTGAGGTGCATCCATCGATAAGCTGTCTTAATATTAAAGTGGCTTTATTGATATTGACGACTGTTACTGCTTGAAGACAGCAGATACTGACGCTAGTGGGTAGGTCCTACCTGAAATTCTACAAAAGTACCATACATGACGTTCGTTCTTCTTAACTTTAACCTCCATGGACTGTATATACTACTTCAGTTAGGTTATGGGTTGAGTTCTCTTCACTTTTATTCCCGCTTGTTCAGTTTAAAAGCAAAACATTTATTATTACCTAAGGGAGCCTTTAGGGAGGTAGAAAGAGAAGGATGAACAAGATCAAGCTAAAAATCCATCAAGCGAGGTGTTGCTAATTTGTCTAAAGTGCAAATATCTGGATCCAATTTGACTGCTAAAAGTGCACGGTGCTAGTCGCTTCACTTAACACCTTTTGATGTTGAAGTCCCCAAAGTAAACTGTTTAAATATTTAATTTACGCATAATAATGAGACAGGCTCATGCCTCTTTTTACATCCCTCCTTTCACTTGGCCATTTTCCTTTCTCCATTTGCCTATCTCACTATTTTCGCTTTTTCGCTCTTTCGCCAATCATACATTGACTAAGATTTAGACTTTCCTGATAGGAATTTCACGTCTAAATCGTTACTATTAATCAAAAAGTTGATACCTATAGATCGACTATCAGCATAAGATTTGATTAATTTGGCTCACAGGTGGCGTTAGCGTCAATATTAGAAAGACACTCAGAAAAATGTGCATTTTGTATGAAATCTTGATGTGGAAGTGCCAACTCCACCTGTGCGTTTCCTTATTCTGAAAATTTCCTTTTTTCCGGTATGCAATTTTCTGCATTGCTAATTAAATTAAACACAGTGAGGCGAAAGAAAAGAGTTTCACATGTGACATTTCTGCATGTATGTAGGTATTCCGCATCTGATTACTCTATTAACGTAATACAAAAGTGGAATGGCGCAACTAATTATGTAGCTTTTTTATTGAAAGGTGGATACTTACTTCTCCTCAATGTCCGTAATAAACCATCGCCTAATAACCATTCAACGATGGTTTACTTCTTTGTGAAAAAAAGTACTCACGCAAAATCGCAGCAAACAAATTTTGAACAGGCTAACGATTCACTAAGTAACTATCAGATTGGCAGATAAAAAGAATGGGTTGTACTTAAATTAACAATGGGAGAAGGAGAAAGAAACAACAGCTGATTACATTTATTAAACGAATAAGTTGAGCAATTAAAATGAGAAGCGGTTGCTCAGGTGGCCTTATTATCTTGGAAAATTACTGTAATTTTGATTTAACCTTCGCATTATATGGAATGTACCTACCTACTCACTACAAAAGAGACGTTCCTACGGGGCATCTTCGTTAAACGTCCATAGCAAGAAGAGAACAACTGGAATATATCTATCAATGTTTCTGTAGGGTTATATGTTATTAACTAGAATAACTTAACTTGATAGAATATAGAAACAAAAGTGGGCGCGGTGGAAAATAAAAGGTTAGAAGCCTTCGAAATGTGGTGTTATATGC